TTAGATCTGGTGACAAAATCCAAAGTGTGTGAGTTCAATACCTGGTTAAGACAGTGGAGAACATGCAGAGGGGAATTAACAGGAGATAACTGATAACTGACATCCATCAAACATGGCACGTGGAACTAGAACAGTCTACCCCAGTGAGCAAAATAAAGGGTTCAGTTCAACATTCCAACTACCTGAAGAAGGCTGAAGCATACAATGGCCGAAACGTTGTAATAAATATGGCGACAAAGATGAGGACAATAGTCTGAATAATGTACATAATACCTCATCTCAGAAATATAGACAGACTGTTAATTTTTAATTTTCAATTTTATCGTAAAATTTAATATTAATTAGTTAGAATGATTTCTATTTTAGTCTAACCCTAACATTAAAGCATTAATTATTATAACCAAGATTTGTTGTCAAGTTTTTTGAATTCCCATATACTTGTATTTTGATTGGTCATTCCAGCTTATGTAAGAGCGTATCCCCTAGTGAGGGGTGTTTGATTGATTTGAACCTTTTAAAACCCTTTATTCTATATTGATAAGATGATACCAGAAGTGTTGATACAAAATGGCTATTTTTGTAGTGATTTTATAACATATTTATGTTATCATTTTTGAATAAATTATACACACACACACAGTCGTGGTGGACTGGTCATGTCTTGAGAATGTCTGCCGACAGGATACCCAAGATCCTAATGTACAGCCAGTTAGATCAGGGCTACAGGAATGTAGGATGCCCCTGGTTTAGATACAAAGACAAGCTGAAGAACAACTTGTCAGCTGTTAATATACCTCATAACTCCCTTAAGCACTTAGCCTTGGAGCAGGTAGAGTGGAGATCAACGTGTTTTAGTTTTCAATCGACTAGTCTGAATAATCTTCAAGAAGTGAGAGCAAGATCTAAAAGGTCAGCCAATCAAACTGACCTCATCGCACAATCCTCACTCTTGCTCCATATGCGGCCTCCTTTTCAAATCACTTTCGGGTCTTAAGTGCCACTTAAGATTATCACACAAAATTAATAATTGAATCAATTGGTTAAGTTGTCAGATCCTCATATGTCGAAACCAATGGGGAAAGTCCATTATATATCAAAAATAAAAAACAGAGTTATAATCCAGAGTCCTTTAGCATTTATTTTTGAAAAATAGTGCTCAATACACAGTAGAATATATTATAATTATTTTTTTTTTATAAAAATGTTTCTGTCATGACGCATAAATTACTATGTTTCAAAACAAAATTTAAATCTTAAATTAAAATGAAATTTAAAATTTGAAGTTTCATTCCATTTTCAAGCAATGCCCAGAATAAACTTTGAAAAAAATTGATTTACTCCATGTACAAGCCAAATCATGTTTTATATTTCAGTTGGTAGGGTAATGAGAATTCAGAATTTTTTTACTAAGGGGGTGTTGGCTTTTTTGACGAATGAAAATACAAGCATAATTTTTATGTTGCAAATTGAAAGTCGGTTAAGGTTAGGTGGGGGTTAGGGATTTTTGTCTGTTGAATATGGACTTCCTTCTATGTGTACTTGTCATCCATGCCTCTTTTTTTTTCTTTTTTTTTTTGAGTTACAATACATTTGGCATTTATATTTTTTTTTATTAATTTTCCTGTATTCTGGAACAAAGTTTTATCATCAAAAAGAAATACCAAAATATCTTTTGATTATTTACTTAAATATTTTTAATCCTTTCTAGCATGTTGTAAATTTTGGTTAAAAATCTTGTTTTTCTTGTGTCAACATGGAGGGGGATGCAAACACAGTGAGTGTTAGAATTTGAAAAACAAAAACAGATTTTATATAAGTTTTAAAGTAAGCTATATTTATAGGTTAAAGTGCTCAATATCAGGGACAGAGCATGTGTAAATAGTGTGACACTGAGACCTCAGGGTGTTAATCAGAAGAAAGAAAAAAGGAAGATGAAAGACACTACTCACTGGTTGATAATTATTGAAATCTGCAGGAAAGTGGACAGAGTGCAGCAATTAAAATAGTTGTGTGGGGGAGGACTATATATATATATATAGCGTAACAGAGAAATTCAAAATTATCTCATGAGAATAGTCATTTCAACTAATGTTGATATGTTAGCATTTTGAGACTCAAATGATGAGCAGATCTAAAGTTAGAAAATTAAACATTTAAAAAAAAAGAAAAATAATTGTATATGTTTAATTTTATTTTTTTTATCATCATTTTCTTTTACTTCTTTTATTTCATTTTTTCACTATTTTGCTTACTTAAAAAATTTTTTACGTCCTTTAAAATTTATAATTTCTGTAGAGAGATAGAGAAAAAAAAGCAAACATGTTACCATTCCTTGTTCTTCAGAACACTATTGAGGAATAAGAAAGGTGAACACAGCAATTAAACTAGTTGTGGTGGGGGGGGAATATATCAATACAGGTCGGCGCAAACACACCGAGGTAGTTATAGTCCAAAATTTCTATATGCAGTTTAGTGAGCTGCAGGATTGCCAACTGAGACCATTAAAACAAAGTCCATGGGCGAAAATGGGTAACAGTGGCTAAGCATACAAAATGGTATTCGATACTAAGAGTTGAATATTTGCAGTTTTGAAAAGCATGTATTAAAACGATCCTTTAATTTCACATAAAAATCTGCACCAATATGAATAAATTTAAAGACGACAGCCTAAAATGATTCCAATTATAAAGCGCCATGTCAATAGATCCATCATCAATGACAGTAAAAGAAGGCAAAAATCTTGTATGCCTAAGATTATAACATTTAAAAAAAAATTTTTTAAAAATCAAATTAATTTTTTCATAGTTTTATTAATATTTTGAATAAAAAAAATTACAATACATTGTCATGTATTAATAAAAATAATATAATGACACAATTTAATAATACAACAGGATTTAAAATGGCTCTTCTCTGCAGATTATATAAATTATTTGGAAACGCACATTATCGATATCAAAGCAAATTCTGTTGAGTAAATATGTGAAATTTTTAAGTTAGGATAAAGGTAATAAGCTGCATATTTCAAAATGACAGCAAAGTGCAAATCCAAACCACTACACAATCATAAGCATGAAAAAAAAACTAAACAACAGCAAATGCTTGGGAAAATATGGATATATTGAAGATATTAAAACTGAATTTAATGAATTTATTAAAATAAAAGATTATACAGAAAAAAATCAGACTTTAGAAAGTGTCGCAATCAAGTTCGAATTTGTTTCAAATTGGGATCCACAGATGATTATGATTCTAATATGAACATGACAAAAAATTTTGAGGTCCATCACACATGCACTGCTGAAGCAAAATCGTGGTTAATTATTGCACAGATTAATGGCACTGACCTGTGTGTGTGTGTGTATATATATATATATATATATATATATATATATATATATAATTATTTAAAAATATGATTCCAACTCGCGACATAAGAGGTCTCATGTTTCAAAACAAGAGCCGAAAACTTCAATATAATTATTTGAATTAAATTGAGTTAAAGAAAGTGATTTGTGCATAAAAAACAAGCATACAATATAATAACTTTTATAATCCATAGCCAAAATAAATAGTTTAAATACCCTACAAAAAGAAAACCCTTTATGAAGTCGTCAAAGGACAAAAGTTACGACAGTTTTTTATATGCACAAATCCCTTTCATAAAGAAATAAGATAAAAAAATAAATAAATCTCCATAGACACGTAAGCCAGACTAGGCTAAAACATCTTCCGTTTCAAATTTAGACACCCCCACCTTACCCTGACTTGACATCTATGAAAGTAACTCTATACTGATTCTTATTATTAACACCCAACACACGCCTACCTAATTTAAACAATTAAGCCCTAGCTGTTACTATGGAAATTTTGATTTCAATTATTAAAACACGTAAATTTCTGAAATAAGTTATTCAAAAAAAATTTTTGCTTGAAGATGGAACAGAGCTTTATTTTAACTCAATTTAATTCAAATAATTATATTGAAGTTTTCGCTCTTGTTTTTGAAACACGAGACCTCTTATGTCACAAGTTGGAATCATATTTTTAAATAAATAATTATATTTATGCTCTACATTTGTATCAAGCACTATTTTTAAAAAATAAAAACTAAAATACTAAGGAACTTTGGATCTACCTAACCAGTTCTTTCCTATTTTCTATATATTTTCACAAATATATATATATATTATGACCGGTTACTCATTTCCAAGCATTTCTGCCTGGAAAGACAATTAGCTAGTCCCTATTGCAGACACCTGATAAGGCACAGGTGTTAATTCAACACATAATAGAATGAATCATCTTGTGTAATCAACAGGTTGAACAACGCCAGTATACTCAAACCCTTAGTCATGAGGACTTTGTGCTAGCAGAACCACCAACATCAGAATGGTGATGTCTACCCAATTTCACACACAAGGCATGGGTCAACTCATGGTTTGATTTCCACCCACCTCTCAAAAGTGTGCTGCACACTGGGATCATCTCCCCAGGATGATAACATGAAGAAGTCACCTTTCTTGATAAATTGTCTATAGTGAAAACCTGGGTACCATGATTAAAACAGTAACCATTCTAACCCTCAGCCATGTGCCTATATATATATATATATATATATATATTATATATATATCTCGAACTTTCAAATAGAATTCTGAATCTACTTTACTTAATGCAGAGAGCATATTTTTGGTGTAAAATGAGACACTTTCAACTGATATCCAGCTATATCAGACTAAGATGTATTGACTTACTTGTTGGTATCATAAGTTTGTTTTTTTTGTCAATTTCTGTCTTGATCCTAAACACAGAAAAAAAAAATAGAAGAATTATATCCTAATACATCATAAAAATATAATATAGACTAATGTCATAATTTGCGGCTCAATGAGGGTAGTTATGTATAAATCTTACTAATATTATAATTGAATGAAATTATCAGTGAAGTACTTTTGACATAATCTGATGGAAAGAGATCTTTTTGAACAGAAAAATACCTTCAATTTTGATTCCATTTTCTCTTTGATTTTGATTTTCTTTGCATCAAAAACTGGAATAGGATTTTCAGGTAAAACGTAAATCAAATCACAGTCAACAATCCCACATTCTTTGATTGTAACATCTTCATTTGAAAATGGCTCAGTCTTGTTTAAGCCCATTTTAAATGGCCTGAAAAAGAAAAAAAAAAGAATGGTTATGGAAGAAGGATTTGGTAAATCATTAAATTTTACACTATTTGGGATGTGAATGAGATTAAATCATATAAAAGAAAAAAAAATTATATATATATATATATATATATATATATATATATATTGCTGCTAATGCAATGCTCTTCAACTAGGATCAAGCTCTCCTAGACATTGACGTCTTTTGTATAGTAAAAACATTAAAATTTCCCTTTCTCTTTACTGTGCAATGATATGTAGAATCTCTAACTGATGCCAAATCAGTCAGGTTTCAATCCCGGCTTGAAACAATTGGATGCCTAGCCACACTGATGAGCTGTGATACAGCCTGTCTGTAGATGACTATTAAATGCTCTCGAAATAATTCAATTTGGCAGACATTTGAGTGATATTATTTTTCACACATAATTGCCATGACTTAAATAACATTATCCAATAGAGAAATAAATAAATTTTCACCATTAACACTGATTTATTTACTGCTGACTTTGAGACATCTTAATGAAACTATTTATATAAGATTAATACAAATAGAAAATGTGTCACATAACTGATTGAGGTTATATTCAACAGACAAACTTTTTTGTAATCATTCAGTTCACTCATCAGGAGGTACCAGCAATTGTCAGCTGATTTTCACATTTTCATTATTTTTATATAAAGTTAAAGATATAAATAATAATTTTTGCCCTTTTTATTAGTGCAAGGTTGATTTTTTCTTCTTTGTGTGTAGGTGTGTGTACACCTGTCCATGTGCATACGTGTAGAATGTTGTGATTAGTTCTTGTCTCCTTACACTATTCCTTTTCTTTAGTTTTTAAGGGGTCAATGGATTTTTTTATCCAACGTTATTTCCTACTACTACAAACGTTATTTTGTGGATACCTATGTCCAAGTAGATGTCCTGTCTTTTTAAACACCGTGAAAGTGACCTACACAATCGTAAGATTTAATAAAGAAAATACCATCAGATGATGGTTTTTCCTACAAAGAAGGACACAAGTTTGAATCTTGCTGGAGATCACATTTTCTTTATTAAGAAGTCTCTCGAATGTGCAGGCCAGTGTCACACTGTGTCTATTTTCGTAAGCCCACTTTCCTCATTACATTATGTGTTCTAGAAACGTCAATTGTCTTTTTCTGATTCTGAGTATCCTTTTTCTTTCTTTTCTCTCTAAAACTTCGTCGTTATCAATTTCGTAATTTTGGGAAAAAAAAGTGAATTCTTCATTATTGATATATTTTTGCAGCAGAATTTAAAAAAGCAGCTTAAAAAAAAAACACATTTAGCATTAGATAACATTTTTTTATCGTTTTCTTTTATATTCATATGGACATCACATTTACGAATTAAATTAATAGATCATTAATAAAGTTATCACGCTCTCAGAGTCTTAAATCCTTGAGAATACATTTAGTTTTCAACTTTTCATTCAATCACCTTTTTTTTTCATTTTTTGTGTGAATCTCGACCCCCAAGCGAACAAAAGGGTTCACACTGCACAGTAACAGTATTATTCTATTTTTATTTTTTACCAATTGTTTTTCTTTTTTTAATTAAAAAAAAAATGATGTACCTTGTCCTGTGTACTTTAATGTCATTTTTTGATTGATTCGCACATACGAAAAAGTATAAGAAAAAGGAAGCACAAGCGAAGAAGTGTTTCGATACACGCTATAAGACGACGAATTCCTGTATCATCGAATTAATAAACTGGGATTAAGAGTGAGAGTTTATGTTTTACTAACACCACGAATTGAATTCTTAGTTGCAGAGAAAAAAATGCAGCATTATATTTTTTAGTCCTTTTTGGCTCCCATATTTTGAAGTTATGAACTAACGGAAAAGAATCGCTGTTAGTGTTCTAACAAAAAGAAACACAAAAAACTAAAGTGCGACCAGAACATTTAAAATTTCATTATTATTTTTTTTTTTTCCGAGTTAAAAGTAAGCATGTTCACTGTTTTCGCGGAAAAACAGCATAGCGTAAATGAAAAATGCCACAAACTTAAAGAAAATAAAGTATTATCGTCAAAATGCTTATGTTATTATTTAGATGAAAGAAAAAAGTATTTTTTAATTATTTTTTGAAATTTTTTAATATTTTCTAACACGTTCGAAATTTTGGTTAAAATCGTCTTTGTTTACGTCATCGCGGCGACGTTTAAAATAACATTGTTTTTTTTTGCGTTTTTTTACCGTTGAAAACATATTGATTTGGAAATTCTTGTAAAAATAAAATAATTGTCCAATCTTAATGAAATTTTCAGGACTTATTCACAAATCAATGAAATTATTTTTGAAATATTTTTTTTTAGAAAATTTTGGTAAAAATTATATTTTTTTAAAATATGTTACCCCACATTTACTTAATTTAATGAAATTTCGCCCAAAACCTTTTTGGTTCCTGAATTTTTTTTTTGTTAAAAGTAGGAGTCTTCGAAGATGGTAAATAATCTACTTTTCTTTCACAAATTTGAGCTATTTAACTGAAAATCTGCTCTGAATTGAAAAATAATGAATCCAATAAAACTATGATATTACTTAATTAGAAAAGCTTTTAATTGCTTTTGTAAATAAGTAATATTAAGGACATTATTGTCTGAAGAAATAATTTTTTTCTGATGAATAATTAATTTTTACAAGAATTTTTTCGTTTTTTAAGAAATTTTAATTATAATAATTTATAATAGTTTTAAATCGTGTAAAGCTCTGTATTAGGAGGGTTCCTCGATATTATGTACTAATTAAGTAGAAAAAAAATTTACGAATCCAAAATTGCTCAGTTTAATAAAATTAGTTGCGCTACTTTTTTTTAAAAATAATTTTTTATGTTGTATTTTTTTTACTTAACATTCCTTATTTCCATGTATGATATACAGAAATTGCCATTATTATAACAAGGTCACGTGATCTAAGGGTTTTGTCCCTTTACGTGGCCTTTTCAAAACATTTCGTTTATTAACAGATTGTATTTTCCGATCAGCTGTAAAAGTGTAAACTTTAAATTTTAAATTATTTTTTCTTTTTTTCATTTACTATTTCACTAAATAATTTTATTTTATGTATTGTATTTCCATTAGTGTGTGTCATACTCAAATAGAATATTTTTTTTTTAAAAACTCAGACTTAAAATTATGTCATTTATGGTCATCAGTAGTAGCTGTCATCGGCTCGTCAATCAATCATTATCAGTAAGATCGAACAACTGAACGGGACTGCTCGTTAATAATTGGTTGTATATTATTTTTTTATGCTATAAGTAACAAAGATTTCTTTGAAATCAGATTACTTTAACTTTAAATTTTTTAATTTTACTAAAATAACGTGTCAGAATTTTTTTAAAATATTTTAAAAATCGATAAATTTGTGTTTGTTTACAAATTTCTTAAAATTAAGAAAATGGCCGTTTTTAAGAAAATTTAAAAATTTGAAATTAAATTTGACAATCAAATGTATATAGTTTCTATCTGAAATACACCAGAATTCTTTAATTAATAGAAATCGTAAATTTAATTATTAAACTTTCAATTAAAGCTAAAATGAAATCTTCAAGAATGTTTTTTCGTTGTAAAAAATTCATTTTAAACTTCAATATAGAAAATTTATGCCGAAATAGTGGACATACTTAGTTAAAAGTAAAACTAACTCGGGAAAAAATTCAACGAGTTCATATTTCAAAGAAATTATAATATTCCTTCATTGCATCATAAAAGTATTATTCCTATACAAAAAAAAAAATAAACTGCTTAGTTTAACCGAATCTTAACCAAAATTAATGATAAAAAATGCATCATGTAGAAAATTAAAAAGACATATTGATAATAATGAAAAAAAAAGAAATTCAACAACTCACTGATTCAACAGGCATCCGAACGCTTTTTGAATAAGCAATCGCATTTCGGAGATTTGAACGTACGTTGCAACATTATCTTCGATTACGACAACTTTGGTAGTTGTTCCAAGCCTGGCGCGTATCTTCATCGTGTTTTCTTTTCCAATAATAATTTGTAAGCGATAATTGCTGTTTTTAAGATATGATTCTAATTTTAACTTCAAATAACAAAGACATGCGACACATTGTCAAAAATTTAACTTCCTTAACTTCCGCACTAAAGATCGACTTCCGTTTCACAGCGGCAAATGAAAGTTACGACGAGGTAAATAATAAAAAGTGGATATCTAGAAAAATACAGTTGAGTTTTTTTTAAATATAAGTAAGTGTAAGCATTCAATGCAGTATAATCACTGATGTGCAATTTTTCTGCCAACTCCTTAAAAGGAAAATATTTCTCAACCAAGAGATTAGTGGACATGTGGAGTTAACAACGTTATGGTGTCCACGCACAACTTTTGGGACAGATTCCCAACTAAGGGTGCACGGGCCCACACATTTAGTTTGGTATTTTTTTTAGGAATTTATATGGTATAGATTGTTATTAAATAATTTCATATATTCAGTGCAAAATAACAGTTCAATTAAAATTTCAGAGTGAAAGAAAAATAGTTTGTGTTTATTTTAAGTACATTTTTGAAAAGCCAAATTTACGCGTAATTTAAAAAAAATAAAAAAAGCTGAAAAAACATCATCGATTCTCAAAATGTGGAACAGGTGGAGTTATACAATAATTAATGTAACCAGAAATACCCATTTTTTAAAAAAAATTAATTTATAATTTAATTTAATCAGAGAGCTGAGTTCCAATTCCAGTTGGGTTCGTTAATTCACTTATGCACAAAATATCCTTGTGAAAGGTATGAAATGATTCTATCTCTTCTCCCCACCCCGCACCAGCTATGAGTTAATTAGTAAAATTGTATCACTAGATCATTTATGTCAAAAAATAACAATTTTTCTGGCTTTAAATAACCTGCAAAGGGTTATCATCCCTTTGCAGGTGATTTAAAACCTTTATAGCAATAGGCAAAAAGTTGTCTCCCCTTGACCCAACAAAAATAACAATAAAATAAAATTAGTATCTGTCTATATTTCTGAGATGAGGTATTATGTACACTATTTACATTATTCGGACTATTGTCCTCATCTTTGTCGCCATATTTATTACAACGTTTCGGCCATTATACACTCCGGCCTTCAAGTGGTTGGAATGTCGAACTGAACCATTTATTTTGCTCACTGGGGTAGACTGTTAGTGTTCTACTTCCATGTCTAATGGATGTCAGCTATCTCCTGCTCAATTCCCTCTCCAAGTTCTCCACCGCCTTAACCAGGTATTGAACTCACACTCTTTGTGTCCTGTCACTGGATCTAACTAACGACTTTATCCACAGTGACACATAGCACAGTGGATAAAGGTGTTAGTTAGATCCAGTGACCCCAACGATAGAAATAAAGGGTTCAGTTCAACATTCCAAACACCTGAAGAAGGCCGGAGTGTGCAACGGCTGAAACATTGTAATACATATGGCGACAAAGATGAGGACAATAGTCTGAATAATGTAAATAATTGCTCTGATGAGCTGCTTTCACTGGTTCCCAGACTCCATGAATTCAAGCGCCCTACGAGGCTGGCATCCTGCTCCCACCCTTACACTGTAGAAACTTTTAAATGTAACCATCTCTTCTACTCCAATAGCTTCATACCTCGCACCTCTCGCCTGTGGAACGCCCTTCCCAATTACTGTTTCCCTGAAAGCTATAATCTCCAACTATTCAAATGTAATGTCAATCGACACCTCCCTGATCTACCCACTATCCTTCTCCTCATCCTTTCTTCTATCACTCCTATCTGCTCTCGCTCCAAATCTTCTGCAACCCCCTGCATCCTAGTGGCTTCACGCCTTGCTCGGGGCGTAATGCTTAAAAAAAAAATCGTGAAAATAAAATTATTTTTTATTTTTATTTTATTGTTACTATAAATATTCACAAGAATTAAAAACACTGTAGCAGATTAATGTAAATTTAATTCTCCCTCTACTTTTTACTTCAACAAATGCAACAAAAGCAAGCAAACAAGAGAAATCACGATATGAAACAAATCTTTTGGTTAACAATGAATATTTTTTATATAACACAAGTGAGGTACAAAATTGTATGAGTTTAAATTACTTCAAGGTTCTTTCTTGCTTGGTTTGAAGTGTTTATGAAAATATCATGTGAAAGATTACATGTTGAAAAATTGTATGTGCAAAAATTGGTAAGTTTGATAAAGTACTTGTATGTTTGTACGGAAATTAAACAATTTGTTTTTTTTTGACGTTGAATTTTGTAATATTGTACTCAACTTACTGTTCTGTGTAAAATTGTCTCTCTTTGACTGAATTCATCACTTGTTGTTCAATGTTGAGTTTATGTAGATGAGTGAGTGTATTTTGCAAGCTGTGGTAATGTTAAATAAAATTAACTCTAAGCCAGGAAAATGAGTGTCGTCGATTCGTGTGTCGAGCTGATACATTCGTAAGACTCACTGTCGAAGTCAAATGAAGTTTCATATTTATTGATGTTTCAGGTCATGTGGGAAACTCCAAATTAGTTGGTACCAATTTGTTTTTACTAAGGATACACATTAGACTGATATGCACATATGGAGTTAAGAACGTGTGAAAATATGATTTTTATGTTTATTAGCCAATCAGAAAGCGTTCTTAGTTACTGCATTCTGGAGCTGGTTTTAATGGGTTGTTTTGCTACTTTGGATAGATTTGAGATAACTTTGTTCTGAGCCAGTTTTAATGGGTTTTTAAAAAACAAATGTAGAAGTCTGATTCTACAGTAGTCACATGACCTGATGAGAATTTCACGAGAGATTGTTAGGCAGGAAAGTCAGTCAGCCTCTTTAGCTCCTGGAAGTCACTGTATCAGGATTCATGCAATTCAGACATGTGACAAACCAAACAGATAAGTACAAAAATTGCTATTGATCTTTTGATATATATAGACTTTTGAAACTCCAAGTTCTTGTTCCAGATACAAAACTTAATTGGTAGAAACAGCAACTCTTGAAAATAGGTGCAGCTTAAATACAAGATGACCACTGCATAAAATTTTAAAAGAAACAATACATTTATTTACAATTACAAATAAGAAAATTCACCAAAAATGTTGATAAGACCAACGGATTCATTTACAAAATATATCAATTCAAAAATACAAAGGGAAAACTTGGAATAAGAGGATTCACAATATGGCACTAGGCACAATCTTTAAATTACACCAACCTCTGTAGTAACAGCTCTGTAAAGGACCTCTCAGCTCGTAGGAAAATTCTTGTAGGTTCTGCCTTGGATCTGTCATGTCAGATTTATAACCTCTCAATGGACTGTCCTTTTATGTGATGTCTTGTGAAAACTGACCCAGCCAAAGTTGACACTCTGCCGTTTTCTTTTCTACTCTCTTCCTTCTTTCCAACTGCTGATAGTAGTCCTTTTTTATTCTCCATGGGGTCATAAAAATCGGCTCCAGCCCAAATCTTTAGGTACTAGAAAAACTTGATTCCCATTGGCCAATATATGTAAAATCCCCTTCCAAGCATTCAAAAAAAGTAGATTCACAAGATCATGGGGCTTCGCCACTTGAGCCTAAAAAATGCACAAAATTTAATATTGTTTTTACCTCTGTATTAAGAATTTCAAATATAAAATGTGTTTGTGTGTGTGTATATATATATATATATATATATATATATATATGTGCAAGTGTTTTTATGCCAAGACTTTTGTGTTTTATTTAAACTTTCATATATTTATGTTGTCATAAGAGTTACAGTAACAAATTAGTGTTTAAATGTTGACATAAAGACAAATTCAAATTTCCATACGATAGTTTTGCCTTAATTAGCTAGCCAAAATCACTCCCCGGCTCCTATCTTATCTAACTTTTTAAATGTTGACATAATAAACCAAAAACTAATTTTAATTCCCATAGTGGAATTTTGCCTTATTTAGCTACCCTAAGTCACTCCTCTTCCCCTCTAAAACCTTTTATTCTATATTAATTATAATTTATAAACTTTCATCAACTTAGAATATCTCCCTAACTCTCTTTCCATTTAATCCCTTACATCTCTTTATATATATAATTTTTTAATTTATTTTTGGTTCGTTTTAATTTCTTCTTTAATTTTAAATTTAATAATTTGTGTTTGCTTCTAATACAGCCAATTTGTTGCCATAAGGTTAATATTCTTGTTTTTTAATAGATACCTGCCACTCTCCTTGCCCCTGTCTCGTGCCTAGCATCTCACTGAAACAGTGAAAAGTGTAAACTCTGTATTAGGTGTTTTCAGCAAGTTACAGTTTAAGTTGACCCTTTAGCTTCCAATCTCAATTCCTTACAGTTAACTGTTACATCCTGCTTCCTGTAACCTTACAGACATGAACTTCATTCCGCACTGGGGTTGAAAAGACAGACGACCACTTTCGTTGTCTGCCAAAATAGCCTATTCCCCATATGTGGTAAAAGGATCCGTTTGATTATTAAATATATAATACATAATACAAAAAAAATAAAAAGTAAAAAATAAACAAAATGGAGCAAGAGCACCACAAGCTGACAGTCCAACAAATAACAATAAAGGCACCTAAATTCATGCAAACTAACATTACCAGTTGGTCCACAATTATTGAATTTCAATTCTATCTGGGAAACGTAACTTCCCAAATCACTAAATTTTACTATGTTATTGTGTCTCTACCTACTGGAAGTAGTGATGAAAATACCTAGCAACATTTTGGATACTCACAACTACAATGAGTTAAAAAAGACTTTAATGGAAACACATGAATAAATGAAGCCAGAACTGCAAGATAAATTGATGTCCACCTTCATTATTACAGGTCAACCATCAATTTACTTTCAGGAAATGTTGTCACTTGCAAAACAAATTGGAGATAGGCAATGACATAGTTTTACACAAATTTTTACAAGCATTACAAGCTTCCATCACCCAAAAAGATTTAAACCCAACCAGGCTGGGTCAATCAGCAGATGAACGATTTGGAGATATGTTTGTTTAGCAGCACAT